CATCCATCCATCCATCCTACCATCCACCCATCCATCCATCCACACATCCTTTCATGGACCAACTCATCCATCCATTCATTCATCCACCCAAACATCTGCGCCAGCCCACCCATGTAATCAAACACCAAGCCATTGATTGTTTTATTTCATTTTATTATTAATACTTGTTCAATCTGCACATTTATACATTGTCTGTCTTCATTTAGGAGTCAAAGATCAAAGATCAATCTGATACCACAGCTTTGTTCAATCCACCCCATATCAGCTTCGCTCTGGCAACAAATGTTGTATATCCCATCCATAATGTACCGACTGGAGTGCCTTCTAGTCGCGGAAGAGTTAAGACATACTATAGCCCTTCAAACAGGAATCGGAAGCATTGAATATCCAGGTGATGACCTTCCTTTGTTAGCTACTGGAGAGTCAGTTGGAGAAAACAGTACTGAAGGCTTGTTTGAGGAGAGCAATTCAGAACGAAGCAAGCAGGAACAAACTGAGGTGCCTAAAGACCGACCAGAGCCTTCCAGGAAGAAAGAAACTGAGGTGCCTAAAGACCGACCAGATTCTTCCAGGAAGGAACAAACTGAGGTGCCTAAAGACCGACCAGAGCCTTCCAAGAAGGAAGAAACTGAGGTGCCTAAAGACCGACCAGATTCTTCCAGGAAGGAACAAATTGAGGTGCCTAAAGACCAACCAGAGCCTTCCAGGAAGGAAGAAACTGAGGTGCCGAAAGACCGACCAGAGCCTTCTAGGAATGGACAAGCTGAGGTGCCTAAAAACCGACCAGGACCTTCTGCGACTCTTTTCCTGCGAGCCTTAACTTGTCTTGGCGCTTGTGATGTGTTCTCGCATGAACGACTAGAGATGTACGGAGACGCCCTTATCAAACATTCTGTTTCCTTGAACTTGTACCACGAATGTCCTTTCTCAAACGTGGGTCAAATATCGTTCCTAAGAGGGCTACATGTTAGTAACAGGCAGCTGTTTTACCTTGGGCGCGCACTGGACTTACCATCATATATCTGTAATGTACCCTTTAAGCCTTTGGTCAATTGGCATCCTCACGGATTTACTGCGCTATCGTGTGCTAAAACCCAGGCGAGATATCTGGAACTGAACGCTGCAGAACAAGGGATTGACTTGAGTGATAATGAAGATGAGAAAAGTGAGAAAGACGAAGCAGCTTGTGTGAAACCCGGACAAGCAGCATTGATTGATGGTCAGAATCACGTGGTTGTGTCAGACAAGACTGTAGCTGATGCAACTGAGGCGATCATTGGTGCGTATTTGGTCACGTGTGGATTTAATGATGCTCTTCGGCTCATGAAATGGATTGGTTTAGACGTACGGACTAAGAAACCCCAAGAGAACATATCATCCACGTCAACGATGTCTACACCAGAGTATGTAGATGAGCAAGAAACATCTGACTTTGATGAAGAATTTTTTGACAACTCCTTGCGTCTTAGTAAGGAAAGCCTAGATGTTGAGTTCAAAGAGATTGAAGAGGTCTTAGGGTACACCTTCAGAGACAAGCTTCTTCTCCTTCAAGCGTTCACGCACGCTTCTTACCCACGTGACTTCATTCACGTGCGTACAAGCTACGAACATCTTGAACTTCTTGGAGATGCCGTGTTAGATTATTTGATTACTCGTTATTTATACTACACTCAGCGAACCATGGCTCCTGGTGCTTTAACAGACCTGAGGTCAGCGGTTGTCAACAGTTACAGCTTTGCTTTCTTGGCGGTCAAGTACGGCTTCCATAGGCATCTGCGATCATTATCGCCAGCGGTTTTTAAGCTGGTGAATAAGTTTGTGGTCGTTCAGGATGGTATGATGAAGAAGGAGATGAAAGAAAATCCCGACCAGGTATCAAGTCTTGTTTTGTCTTAATGATACCCCAGAGCACTGATGCACCAAAGGGATAATGTGCGTATTTTTTGGCTTCCTAAGAAACAAACTTTATTGATTAAACTACTTCCTAATCTAAAAATAGTTTTTACCTTAGGCCTTTTGTTGTAGAGAGGTGTTGCATGATCACGTGCTGGCAGATGGTAGCCGAACACCAGCTTCCCTTGGCCTCGTCCCCAGGCTACTTATTATCAGCACTTCCAAATCCAAAATGGCAGATGCTTGAGAGCTCTCGTCGGAGAAGCAAGTCACATGCATGACGTCATGCTGGCGAGATTAGCTTGGGGACGAGGTTAAACATTCATTTACCCTGCTAAACGATTTTATTGTTCCTGCTATTAAACTTTTACATATATATATATWTTTTTTACAACCACCACTCCCCATGCGGGGCTCTTCCGTGAGGTTCCCTCCACACGCACTACCACTACATTCTATATTTACAACATACAACACTCAACTCACATGTTACTTTTCAACATGGCTGCCGTCATGTGATCATGCAAAATCTCTGTTTCGAATTAACAGCATGGGTGTAGTCTGCCATTGGCTTTATTATCACTGACGATAATCACCTATAAACACCTATACACCTATAAACACCTATATAATTATCCATACTGAAGTGAATTAACAAACAATGCAACGCAACTTGGTGTTTATTTATGACAGAAAATTTTTACCCGTTTTTTTTTTAAATAAAAACAAGCTACAGCAATAGTGCGGAATAGACCTTTCCCGAATTCGCTTGGATGACCACGAAACAATGGTTGGAAGTCGAGACTGAACTTGATTCTTTTATTCATCAAGTTCAACCTCGACTTGAAACCATTGTTTCGTGATCATTCCAGCGAATTCGGGATAGGTCTATTGTTGACAATAATATCATTAAGTAAAATTATTGTTTGTTCCCTCAACCAAATTAGTTTTAATATAAACCGAGCTTTCGGGCATACTCTCCCATCCTCAGGGTACAATGGAATCAACGATAAAACTATCACGATTACAAACATATATGCGCGTGTTACACACGTTAACACAGAGGCGGATCCAGGGGAGGGGTGCAGGGGGTGCGCACCCCTTCCTGGTTCCACCTTGTGCCCCTACTTTGAAGACAACCAATACTGTTTTTCCCCTTTGATTCTAAGGAGTGCACCCCTCCCTGGGTTAACTTTGTGCGCAACACCCCTCTCTGAACAAAATCCTGGATCCGTCCCTGTAACAAACATTCATTTCGCTCGCTCACATAATATCACTGTCAGACTGTTTTTTATTTAGGAAGGCAGGATACCTTTTCAAGCTAGATATATTGAATTTGTTAACGGTTGTACAAAATATTTTTCTTAAGTTATTTGTTATTCATGATCGTATTTCAGATTTTCTCCAGTGTGTTTATTCCCATGGATGATGAAGCAGGAGAAGGCGTTGAGGTTCCTAAAGTCTTGGCAGATCTGTTCGAGTCGGTCATCGGTGCTGTTTTTATTGATTGTGGTCAAGATGAAGAGAAGACCTGGGATGTGGTATATCCTTTGTTACAAGCTACTTTAGGTGAGAGGATATTCAAATCACGTTTCCTTTTTCTTTTCTCTTTTTCTCTTCTCTTCTCTTTTAGCTTGGGCCACATGTCATTCGCTAGAGTATCATTTCTTTGTTTAAGGCTTGTGAATGAGAAAACACATGAAAATACACATGGATAGAACTCAAACAAAGAACTTTTTCTCAGGGGAATGACTCGTGGTCTGAAATAGGAAAGTGTTATGCTCAAGATGAAGAGGTCTGATGAGTGTGCGTGACAGTGGGCTCAAATTTAACGTTCAAAAAATATCCATAATCTGGTGACAGTTGTGAAACTTCGAATTTCTCTCTACTTCTCTTTTACATAATTCTTGTTCACAGAGCATTATTCCATCCACCTGCCTGTGTCACCAGTCAGACAGCTACAGGAGATGTTACCATCATCTGTGTCCTTACTGTGAGTTGGTTAACCTATTGTTCTTGTTCATACTATATCATTTGCAATTCACCTTCCCTCTGTCCTCCCAATATACATACTTACCAAGTCACTCCCAGTTTTACCTATAGATATGATATTGGCATAGCCAGGTCTTCACATTGGAGGGTCACAACCCCACTAACCTCTCCCACTCCCCCTCCCACTCCCTCTCCGTCTCCCTCTTCCACTCCCTCTCACTCTCTCACTCCCTATCCCACTCCCTCTCTGTCTCCCACTCCCTCTCTGTCTCCCACTCCCTCTCCGTCTCCCACTCCCACTCCCCCTCCCTCTTTCACTCCCTCTCACTCTCCCTATATCCTCCCAATACATACCAGGTCACAGAGGCATAGATAAGACTTCCCACAGGAAAGGGTGTCATACCCCACTAAACTAAACATATTCTGACTAAGATTTTGTTTGAATTTTTATCATCGTTTAGTTTGTTTTTATTGTTGCCATGGTGATGGCATCCGTGTATAGTAACCTTAATTTTTTAAATCATATTTTGTGATTTTTCCTCCACCCTTCAGATCTATGGATCGTAGCGTAGCTGGTAAATACACTTGTACACTGCTTGTTCAAGGAATTGGTAAATTCAAGGGAACTGGTAGAAAACCCAAGATTGCAAGGTCAACAGCCGCCCAACGAGCACTGGCTCATATACAGTCACAAAGTGGAAAAGCGTCCACTAAAAACACATAGAACATTAGTATCTTCCTAAACTCTCGTGTTTTCATTATTTTATATGTCTTCTGAATATCACTAACCCCATGATGAGGAATTCTTATAGGGTTAAAAATAGGGTCATTTTTAGCCGAAAAGCTAACTAAAAAGCTACTATATTACTTGGTTTTGATCGATTTTGGGTGCTTTTTCTCACCATTTTAAAGACATTTTCTATCAAGCATATGAAAAGGGAAATTTTTGACCAAACGCATGGCCTATAACCCATAATTTTCATCAATATCGAGTGTTTTCCACACCTTTTAAATCAATAAATAACAGTAAATAAATAAGTAATGGGATTAACACACCTTTTCAAAAGATATGCATTATTTATGAAAAATACAAAATAGATTAATTTTGGCCATTTTCAGGCAAAAAGCATGGACTATAGCCCATGGTTTTGATGGAATTTGGACCATTTTCACACCTTTTCAAAAGATACACATTATTGATGAAGCATGCAAAATAGGTCGTTTTTGGGCAAAAAGCATGGACTATAGCCCATGGTTTTGACGGATTTTGGACCATTTTCACACCTTTTCAAAAGATATGCATTATTTATGAAGAATGCAAAATAGGTCATTTTTGGACATTTTTGGGCAAAAAGCATGGACTATAGCCCATGGTTTTGATGGAATTTGGGCCATTTTCACACCTTTTCAAAAGATACACATTATTGATGAAGAATGCAAAATAGGTCGTTTTTGGCCATTTTTGGGCAAAAAGCATGGACTATAGCCCATGGTTTTGATGGATTTTGGAACATTTTCACACCTTTTCAAAAGATATGCATTATTTATGAAGAATGCAAAATAGGTCATTTTTGGCCATTTTCGGGCAAAAAGCATGGACTATAGCCCATGGTTTTGATGGATTTTGGACCTTTTTCACACCTTTTCAAAA